AAGGAAGAAAATTCAGAGGAGAAAAAATAAACTGAGAAATAAGGCATAAAAATACAATCAATCTCTGTCTCTCTGTCTCTCTGTCTCTCTGTCTCTCTCTCTCTCTCTCTCTCTCTCTCTCTCTCTCTCTTTCTCTCTCTCTCTCTCATTCACTATTTAATAGAGATTGGATCAAAATAACCAATCAAGCACACAGCTACACCATATCTACCACCTACAATTCCAGGAAATGATAAGGAGATATTTTTTAAAAGTTAAAAATATAGCTAGCCTGTTAGCTTGGTTGGCTACCGCATGATAAAAGTTAAAAATATCTTCCAAAATGAAAAACTTCCACCAACAAATGAAAAATGTTGAGAAAGGGTGCAGATGGATTATATCAAACAAAATTGGGAGCTGGGGGTGTGGCTCAGTGATTCAGTACAAGCTTAGTGTTACAGACCCTGGGTTAAATTCCCCCACACAAAAGACAGAAATATAGGAAGGAAAGGAAGGAGGAAGGAGGAGAGGGAGAAAAGAAAAAGGAAGGAAAAGTCTGCTCAAGTCAAATGGAGGCAGGCAGCAGCTAAGACACAGTGGGGCAGGGAGATGTGCAAACTCACAGTTAACGGATCAAAAAGTGGAGAACGAAGACTCCAAAACATCAATCAGGGAGAGAAACTGGGAAGAGATTTAGACAGCTATCTAGCCAACTCCTTTCTCCGCAACTGGTGCTAAGCTGTGGCCCAGGAAGCTAAACGGACAGGAAGAACATGAATCTTCCCACCCTTGAGGACGCACTGTAGGTACCTCCAGCGCTGCTCTCACCCAAACTGGCCAAGATTAGAGTCATTCAAAAGCAAAGTGAACAAAGATTCTAAAATAAAAAAGTTGAACATATAACTAATACACTATCACACACTGGGGAGTACTCTTGAATATTCATGAAGAAGTAGACAGATCCCAAAGTTTGTATATATTACACTGTTCCTTTAACCCCCACACCCTTTTCTTTCAGCACTGGGAGTTTAGCTCAGAGCCTCACACATATTAGGCAAGTGCTCTACCACTGAGCTACATGGCCAGTCCTAAACCTCTTTATTCTTGAACTTAGTGGAAGGCTGGTGATATGCCTCAGTGGTACAGTGCCTGCCCGGCAAGCAAAAGGTCATGAGTTCAATTCCCAGTCCCCCACAAAAAAAGTTGCAATAGCTTTAAACTTAGTGGAAGGGATTTCAATCTCAACTTCTGTACCATACATTTGGGAGACAATTTTGTTTATACAACGGTGATATGTAGATAAATAAGAAAACTAATGCCAGAAAACTAACACGCAGAATCTTAGTAAAAAGTACAGAGAACATTTTTACCCTTGTGGTTACTCTTCCTAAGCAAAACTCAAAACCCAGAAGCTATGAAGGGAAAGATGGACAGATTTGGCATAATAAAATTGTGATACAATAAAAATTAAAATACCTCTATAACAAGAACCATTCAATCAAGAATAAATATCCCCAGACTATAAATCAGAGAGGGGTTAGTCTCCACAATATATTAAAATGTTATTTAAAAAGACATCATCATATTAAAACTGATAAAGTGCTAAACAGGTAGTTTTTATAGAAAAAGAAATTCAAAGTGATCCACAGACCTGTGAGGAGATACTTAAACTTCCAGGGAAGCAGAGAAATGCATATAAATAATATAAGTGCCCTAACCCAAACCAATCAGAG